ACACACACACACACACACACACACACACACACACACACACACACACACACACAATAGCTGAGTATGCTTTGGATGCTCTAGAGAACTCAATGAGCTCCATAATCAGCATCTTATTGTGTGTGTGTGTGTGTGTGTGTGTGTCTATAATGAATAGGGGTGCAACAATTCAACAAATCCATGGTTCACCACAAACCTGTCTTTTTTAGTTTGTGTTTTTTGGATGATCCATAATGTACCGACACAGCTGAATTAAATTTATCCTGGAGTCTGCAAACTCTAGGTTGGCATCCATCTTATTAGCTAATTAAACTAACCTCCGTCGTACTGTGGGCGTGACTGGACCAAAGTCAACAAATGTAGTATTTGCTAAATACATGGCTTTTGTTTTGTGACATTAGGAACTAGGCTGTCATTCGTAGAGTGGATTCTTCTGCCGAGCGTAATGCATATCTCTCCATGTCAAACCAGTGTTTCCCATTAATTATCTAGACTGTGGCAGCCTGCCATATTCAAATTTGTCCTGCCACAGTTTCATATTAAAGCAAATGCTTTGCTAACAGAGAGATCTTTAAGTTGGTGTTTTGCTCCACAGTCTTCAGTCTGTGTACTCTGTTGTGCATGAGAGCGACGTTCATAGATTGAATATATTCTGTGGGCTTTGCTGCAGAGACACTGAAATAAAACTCCAGGATCAACCTATTTCATAACAATCTGCAACAAAATTCCTGACACTTACTGCTTTTTTGTAAGTTTCAAGGTAGTCCATGTTTTATCTATTCTGTAATCATTCTGACTAAAACAAACAAAACAAAAACCTCCTTGGTGAAGGTACTATGAGTTCAGGCTGAACCTGCAGTGGTGGCAGAGGGTTGGGTTTTAGAGAATTAGAGTTTCTAAATCCTCTATCATTTTATTGGATTGTGGATGTTTTGGTCTTAGTTTTAAAATCCACAACCTTATGATCCATTGATTTCTGGTTTAATGCGAGCAACTAAAGCAAAAAGGGATAGAGATATTTTGATAAAAAGGGGAGCGGAGAGAGGAGGCTGCAAAAGAGCTGGATAAAAATCTAGAGACACATGGACTAAGAAACAAGAAAAAACCTAGGAGAACAGAAGACGCAGCCCACACAGAGAACAGAGTGGCCTAACCCTGCTGCTGGTGAGATGGAGGAACAAAGAGGAGGAGGAAGGAGGTGAGAGGGGAAGAAATAGATAGAAGACAGACGAGGAGCTCATAGAATGAGCTCGGGAAGAGGTAAAGGTGGCCGGCTTGCACTTTGAGTGAAGAACAAAGGAAAACTGTAGGAAGCAAGAAGAAAGTGACAAGCTTGGAGTGCCACCTCTGTCCGACTGTGAAAGACCATCTTCACCTGCTCAGCACACAAGTAGATGAGGAAATCAATTCATGATGGTGCTGATGATGACAAAGATCTGGTTGTTTGATTAGTATCAAATAAGAAAACAACAGAACTGGAGATAAAAAC